ACCTCAACCTGTCCAAGCCACCCCTTTCCAAGCACAAGGGAACAAACACATTGACAGGACCATCTCTTCCTCGTGCCATGGGTTCACCAGTGACTTCCCATGCAGCTGGGTGGCATTAGGAGAGAGATGACAACCATCTGTATGAGCTGAGCAGGCTGGTGCTAATTATCAAGCGAAACAGGATCACGGTCATTGAGCTTGCAGCATCAGGCATTTGGTTGCTCAAGACACAGGACAGCACTCCTCTGCTCTGGTGGTTCCCCAGTGTCACGTTCAGTGGGAAAGGTTGTTAAAGTTACTATGAAAGGGTAATCTATTACAAATTACTCATTAATTAAACTGAAAACTCAGTGACATATTACTGATTATGCCAGTGTCACGCTAGCTCAATGGCAAGACTTGGTTCACGCTGCTGGTTTCTCTAGTGCCTTTTAGAGGAACCTTCTCAGCATGACTTAAGCTTCTCTCCTCCTCACCTGGATGGGTACATGGGGTTTCCCTTTGTGGATCTTCTGTGCCTTGCCACACATGTACTGCCTCTCCAGTAGCTGAACTGCTTTAACACCACAACTAAACGCCCAGCTGCAAATCTGAGACCCTTTGGCCTCCGTTTCTGGCAGGTACTGTGCTAAGCCTGGAGTCTGTGCCTTGCAGCCATCTGTGCTGGTAGTACTTGGTGGTTTTTGGAGAGCAGCCTCAGCAGGTGAGTCACTGGGCTTTCCCACCTCTGCCGGCAGCGGTGGGGGCACAGCCAGCGCAGTGCAGGTAGGACCTGCTCTGTCCTGCACTCCAATGAGCCCAATTCCAAAACCTCACCACCTCAGCACAAATTGCTGCAAGGCCTCTTTGCTGGCTACAGTTCCTTGGCTCCCCTCCAGAAACAGAAACAGCTCTAATCATCTTCCTACTAGTTTGGCACCATCAGTGTTATTGCTGCTTCTGCCTGAGGAGTTTTGCCCATGGTGGATATTCCTGCTTTAAACGCTCTCATTAAGGAGCAAGGACTTTGTTCAAGATCCTCACATGCAGCCCCAGAGTCCGCATCTAACTCCAGCCTCGGGACAGACATAGCTGACCAGCAGCAAGTCATGAGAGCAGAAGGTACCCACTATACATTCAGTCCTTGGTTTATTCATCTCAGCCTGATGTGAGTCTTGAATATAAAAGAATTATGAAAAATGAGGAAAGAACAGGGAGGTATTTAACTAATGAAGCTGGGAAGGAAATGGGACGCACAGATCAGGAAAACGAAGGCAGTGGCTAAAAAGAAAGAGCTGCCCAATAAAGTTCATTCAGGAGTTCTGCACCAGGGTCACAGTAAATGCTGCAAAGAATTTGCGAAGTCTGGAGCAATAGCTGTGCAGGCAGCAGAAGTGGGGCAACAAAAAAGCCAAGTTCTCACAATTATAGTCATGGACATGGGGGAATTGTGTCTTAGTGGAGGTCACAGCTGTCTCAGAACAAGGGGTGGCCCACAGGCAGCATGATTGGGCAAGATTCAGTAAAAGGCTAAAACTACGATAAAACCCAACAAAACTGGAACAGAAGACCTCCAGAGAAGCCAACAACCAAAACATACTACAAATACATCAACAACAGAAAACATGGAAAATATGAGAGAAAGGAGAAGCAGCAGAAAGACACAAGATATAGAGGAAGTGGTGGCCTGAATGGTTTATTCAGATGACGACCAGAGGCAGTGTCCTGTTGGCACCTGGAGCTGGACATCTCTCTGCAAGACCCAACCTTCAGTGCTTCACGTGGAAACCAGTGGGTAAGGCTCACTGGCCTGCTCCTGGCAGAGGGTCATACTGGATGGGAGGCTTGGAGAGCTGCTGCCAGCCCCTGAAGGCGGCCGGCACATGGACACATCTCCCTCCGCACCACAGGATGCAGCTCCGCGCCTTTTATCACTGGAGTCAGGCTGTTCCTCTGCGGGGCGCAGGAAAGCTCCGCGCTCCAGCTTCGCAATGAGCCACTTCCTTTTTTTTCTTTTTATAGGATCGCAATTTCTTTTCCCTTCCTCCTCCACCTCAAAAAGGCGGATATTTAATAACTGGGATCGGAAGAGCCTGCTATCGTGAAGCGATGGGTGGTAGCGGCGCTGCACCTAGTGACATCACGCTGTCAGCCCCGCCAAGCCTTCATCCCGTCAGGGCTATTCAGTGAAACACAAACTAATTACTCTGCCAGATCCTCGGCCAGATGACAAATTGATTCACGGCACTAACTAAAAGAAGGGAAGGAGAAGAAATTGCACCATTTCCTATGACTGAAACTACATTAACCTGTTACCCCAAGGAAAACTTCGTCAAAAGTTTTTATTGCGGTGGCTGAGCTATACGCCAGACGGCTGAAGTGCATTGCCAGAGACCTCAGTGCTGCGCTATGAAAGTTCATCTGCAGAGCACAGTTTGCATTCGATATCCATCAGCGTTCAGAGGAAAAGGATCTTTTTTCAGAACATCTGCAGAGTATCTTGTGTGTCAGAGGACCTAAAGCTGTTATCAGAAACTGCTAATTAAAACTTAACAAAAGCAAATACCTGTTTTTCTAAGCTGACCCGAGGACGCTGAAAACTAAAAGTAAGACCAGAGAGACTGCTGGAAATGAAAGCTTTTACTCAATCTGTCAATGAATTCACAAGGGAAACTTTCCTGGAATACTACAAGAAGTCTAGAATTACATCATCATGGCAAGGGCACACCAGCATGTTGCTTATTAATCATTTCCAGGAAGCAGGAAGAAGACTATCAGAAAGTCACTTTTAATAGTACCACTGCCCAGCAACGTGGGCTCCCTTGCTCGCTGCAGGGTGGATACCTCAGATTTCCCGCGCATAAATTTCCTCTTTGAGCAAATTTCCACCCCTGCCAGAAACCTGCAGTGCAAACGCACTGTTTCACACGTTCTTCTGACAAAAGATTGGATTCACACAACATCCTATGGCTATGACTAATCCTAAACTCTCATGAAACCACTCTTCTCTGATAGGAGCGAGAGATGCACCCTGTCCAAAACAGTGAGTGCTGCTAGATTTTGCATGTTCACCACCACTCCAAAGATATTAAGACGCCTTTTCTCACCAGACATAACCCCAGGGAGGACACCAAGGTGCAGCATTGCCCAGGCTGCCCTGAACTTTCTCCTTAAATGAAATGACCAAGACTTGTTCACCATAGATGCCTGACCATAGCATCATTCCCTTTCAAAAGCTTGGACAATGGTAAAAAGGAGAGGCAGAGATGGAGTGAAAGAGGACAGGAACATTTAAGCTTGTATTTGAGAGGTGAGACCTCTTCCCTCCACTGCATAAAGCAACTGAGAAGAGCAAGAAAACAAAGGTGAGAAGGAAAGCATGTTGGAAGAGAGGAGGAAGACATATACACCATGTAGATAATACAATAGATGGAGTATTATTCTTGTGCATCACGATCCAGAAGAATAATACCCTAAAAGGAAGCTATGATACAGGGGGGTGAAATACAGCACACTGTTACAGCAGCACAGTCAAGTCCACAAGCCAAAGTCAGAGCCCTCCCAGCTACCTTTGATTCAATGAGTCCTGTGATCTGCTGCTCCGTTCCTCCAAGGGCTACTGATGCAATGTGCCAGATTCCGTGTTTCTTTCCAACTGTTCTGAGTCTCCTGCATCTGATCTCAAAGAAGGGAGCAGAAACAGCTGGAAGAGAGAAACCAGAATGGCATAGTCCAGCAGCAACCCTTGGAAGAACAAACAATGACAGCCTTGTGAGAGGTACCATTGTACCCCTGCACATATGCTTGCATGTGGACTTGTATCCACATGTCTCCTAGAAGAAACACGTGTTGCTACTGCTCTGGCTGGTCACAGAGCATCAGAGCATCTTCTGACTTAGCACGATCAGTGCAAGCTGAACAGACCAACAGCTCAACAGCACGGCCATGATCCACAGTCATGGGTGCCAAACAAGTCACATGTGGTAAAGGCAGCCTAATTTTGGCACCACACTTCTCCTCCAGTGATACCTTCACTCCCTGAGCAACTCCACCTATTTGCAGAATATGAGCAGCTTGCAGCCCGTGCAAGGGGACCCAGTCAAGGTCTACTCTGTTTAGGCTTTTAAAGCTCTTGTAGATCTAGCTGCAGGCCAAAAGAGGAGGGCAAAACAGCAGGTGAAACAGGAGACTGAAGAAATAAGCTTCTTCAGAGAAAATTTAGGTATTTGCTGCCAAAGGAGAGGATTAGTTGTGAACATCAGGAAGTCAACAAAGCAGAGAGCAGCAGGAGGCCACTGCAGATAACAGGGACAGTAGGAGCAAGGCTATTGCCCATGAAGGCACGTGAAGGAGAGATAAAAAGGCCTGTGCTCTTTTACATGTGCAAGGACTAGAAAGAGGGAGCGAGGAGGTCATGGAGATGGTGCTGGTGGAGGAAGGGCCACAAGGGAAAAACAAAAAAGCCTTTAAAAATGAACCATGGAAAAGTGATTAATAAGGGATGAACCGTTAGGGTTGGTGTTAGGACCTTCTCATTTCCACTGGAAGGAAGACATGCAATAGCCAGATTTGGGGAGGTAAGACCAGGAGCACAGCAAGACCAAGACTGAAGGATGTCATTTAAAGGACAGGAACAGAACGTCAGACAGAGAGCAAATAAGACTAAGATGGTTAGGAATTACATGTAGGAGAAAACAGAAAACAAGTTTAGAGGCTCATGGGATATTTAAGGCAAGACAGCCCAAAGGATCTCTTGCCAGCCTTACAGCAGGGATGAAAGGGAAACCGGAACATTTTTCCTGACCGCAACTTCCTTATAACCAATTATTAGAAAGCACAGGCGCACCACATCTCTCCAGGACAGCACTACTATCACGAGCCCAGTCCTAGCACACACAACACCATTTCCAGAGGGGTCCCTCAACTCCACATCCCTTCTGTCCCACATAAACCTACTGCCTTTTAGCTGCAAACAGCACTTGTAAGTGCCAAATCATCAAGGGCAGTAACAAAACGAGTACCTGGAGTATCGCAAGTCTGCCTGTCCCCTGAAGAGTTGGTTGGAGGTGTCCGGTGTCGGTAGACAAGGTGTGGTTTATTGTGCTCTTCTTCATACTCCTGTTCTTCAAGTGATAGCAGCGGCTCTACAAAATAGTCCCCATCATCAGACTTGAATGTGCCTAGCTGAGAGGGACCAGAGAGAGGAACAGGCGGTCAGCTTTGGGCGATAACAAGCCACCGAGCAGCACTACCCCACAAAGTGAGCAGTTAACGAGGGAGGTGCGTGCCTGCCCAGTTCTACAGCGACCCCTGCGAAGGCACAGGCTGGAGCACCAGCTTTGCTTGCACCCACACTGGGCTGCACTGCTCCCTGCAGTCATCCCACTGGAGCTCACAGACAGCTAATTACTGATCATAGGCAGGGAGCATGAGAGAGGCACATCTGCCAGACCCCATCCCTATGTCAGTGATTCCAAGCCACCCCTGCCTGAGGGGCAATGGTGCTGCAACGTGCTGAAGGGCCCAGTACAACCCCATCAAGTGTTGATTTCACACAGCAGTTCTCTCTGGGACAGGCTTTAAACCCACATGTAAGGACCAGATGGCAGTGTCACAGCCAGTGAAATCCCTGCTTATGAGAAGACACCAACACGCCTAGTTTCACCCGACTATGAATGTAGGGATTTGGTGGGCAAATAAAAGATATCCAAGGGAAAAAACCATCCTACAACCATCCTAGACTGGGATGCTGGACCAGTAACTGGGAGGGAGGCCTGCCCAGCCACACACACATTCACCCATGGGAACTGCTGGACCAGACAGAGCCAGCAGAAACTTCTGGGGACTCCTGGGAGTGGCAGTCCGGGGGGCTGAAAGTTACCAGGGCAGACATAAGAGTCAGCCCTGCTGGGAGCTTCTGCTCATCTTGCTAACATCCCTGGTCTGAAGAGCACCGGGCTGGTGTACCGGGTGGCTCCGGGGTCAGCGCTGCCGGGGAGCCCCCCGTCCCTCCCCCTGGCACTGCGGGGACAGGCGGGTGTCCGTGCCCGGCTCTGTCCCGCGGATCGCCCCCCCGGGGTGCCGCTGGGTGGCAGTTTTTCCCCCAAAAACGGCCGAGCAGGAGGGGCTCACCCCGGAACCCGACGGAATAATGAACGGGGGTAGGAGAAATCCCCGAGCGGGGCGAGCCAGAGCCGCCAGCGGCGGCCGAGGGCGGGGGAATGGGCCGGTCCCAAAGCTCTGCCCACCCTCCATCGCCCTGCTCCTCCTCCTCCTCCTCCTCCTCGCTTCCGCCCCGGCGCGCCGCCCCTGGGCGCCCGGCGGGGCCCGGCCGGGAGCGGGAGCGGGGTGCGGGTCTCACCATCCCGGAGCAGAGGCTGATGACGGCGGTGAGCCGCGGGCGGGCATTGACGTGCCCCCGGTAGAAGCAGTGCTTCACGTCGGCGTCGGCCGCCTCGGCGTACAGGCGCCGCTGCTCGGCGGCGGGCTCTCCCAGGAGGCTGACGGTGAAGAGCGGGGCGATGAAGGCCGAGCTGGCCGTCAGGTTGAAGAGGAACTGCTGCCCGAAGGCGGACAGCCTGTAGTGCGCCTTGGGGGAGGCGGCGGCGGCCGCCGTCCAGGCGTCGGGGGCAGCGCTGGTGCTCCGCCGGCGCCGCCTGAAGTGGACATCGGTGGGGAAGGGCTCGCCGAACTCATTCACCCGGGTAGGAGTCACGATCTCGTACTCGCTGAGCTTCTCCAGCAGCTGGGCTGCGAGGGGACAGAGATGCACATGTCGCTGAGCGGGGTGGCCGAGCCCCGCGCCCCCCCGGGGGGGGCGGCAGCCCAGCATCCCCCCACCCGCGCCCCGCCCCTCCCCGAGCACCCCCTTACCTTGCCTGGGGTGCAGCTTCTGCCTCCTCGCTCCTGTCCTCAAGCCGTCGATGAAGAGCGTGGTGAGTGCCAGCGCCAGCGGCGCCAGCTGCATGGTGCTGCGCGCTGTCCTCGGAGGAGCAGCCTTCCCCGCGCTCCGCTTCTCCTCCTCCTCCTTCTTCTTCCTCCCTTTCCCTCTTTTTCTTCTTCTTCGTCGTCTTCTTCTTTTTCCCCTTCCTTTCGCCCCTCTCTCCCCCCTCCCCGCCCCCGGAGCGCTGCCGGGGGAAGGCGCCGGAGCCGGGCGGTGTTAGGGGCGGGCGGGCCGGCGGGGCGCGGGGCGCCGGGGCCGCGCATGGTGCGCGGGGGCGGACGGGCCGGGGTCGGGACCGACGGGCCGGGACGGGGGAGCCGCCCGCCCGCCCGCCTGCCTTGCCTGCTCTCCCTCGCTTTCCGCTTCTCCCCCCGTCGGGCTGGTGGACGGGGCGCTCCCGGGAGTCAATTTAAGGGGGCGGGCTCCATAGATCAAGCAGGAGAAAAGATCCCGCCCTTGCAGGAGCAGGGACAGCCCTTCCTCCTCTCCCCCACTCCCCTCCTTCCAACATGTCACTTTCTTTCATTCCCGACTAACGCCGAAGTCGCGGGGTTTGGCCAAGACAAGCCATCGCTGTGGCTGGACGGGGCGGGCCGGGGGGAGCCGCTCCCCGCCGGCTCCTTCCAAGAGGCTTTAAAATCGCCAAGTGGCCCGGGCAGAGCGGCACCGGCAGCTGCCTGGTCTGCCAGGTCCTGCGGGGAAGAGCCACTTTGTCACTCACCGGGAGGAGAGCTGAGTTTTCTTGCATAATTGATGGTTTTCCTTTTTTTTTTTTTTAAGGCAGCTCGAAGAAGTGGACCAGTAATCGAAGAATCCCCTGTGTGACACTTCTTTCAGCAGTTGTTTCTTCTGCATTTCTCAGATAAGAGGCAATTCAAGCAAGTTTTGTTTAGGGTCATATTTATGTTGTACATTTTTCAGGCACCCTGAGGGAAAAGAAAAAGTATTTCCTTATCTGAGTTTATTTTGTTTTGGTTTACAATTTGAAAGTTTTCTGTAAAAAGACATCCTTTAGAACTAAATGTAACTAAGCATTGTCTTCTACCCCTTCCTCAAACCAAACCCCCAAACCTTGGTTTAAAAGGTTTTTAAACCTTGAAAGCCTGTAGGCAGGGCAAAGGAAAATAGATATCTGGAAGTTTGGTTTGCACTTCCATAGAAAATTTCCAAGTTCTGTACTTTCTTCACTCAACTTTGGGACAAAAAACAGAAATGCCAATATTTGCTGCGGAAAGGGAAAGCTTTAAAATAAAAATAAAAATCAATTAGGAATCTACCTCTGGGCAAAATAGCACCTCCTGGCTCTTCAAAGCAACTGGTGAATTCCTAGAAACCTCAACTGTTAGCAGTAAATTATTAATTTTGTATGATGAATATAAAAGTCAGAGTAAGCAAAGCACCACCTGTAAAGCTGTGCATCTTCAAACCCTACAGTTGACTCTCTGGGGTCGGAGGGCTGGAGGCAGACCCTCAGCAGTGCAGAATCTCCAGGATTGTGGAGACCCAAGTCAGGACACCCTCAGGGCAAGGCGTAATGGCACATAACCTTCCCCGTGTGGCATTGTGCCCACACTTATAAAGCATGGTTTAATTAAAGTCTCGGATGTTTACAATAAGATAACTCACCCATATTGGCTGGGGGGGGGGTGTTGACAAAGCTCAGGTGCTTCCAGAGTGAACTTGCCTTGTGTGCAGACCACTCTGACAGCAGTGTTGGGTCTTCTTACCATCTCCAGCCTTAGGGTTGGTGAGAGCAGCCTGATGGTCCCCAAAGTTTGGGGGACAGGGTTGTCTCCCTGCTTTCCACTGTGAGTGTGTAGGAGCAGCGACGTGCCCATTCTGGTATGTGTTACCTACTACCAGTAGCAGTTTTCCCAAAACCAAACATGGTTGTGTCTCCATGCACTCACCTATTTGTGAGTGAACCTGGACCAGATTTGTTTCTCATGCTGCAAAGGGCCTGCACAGTAACATTTTCCTGTCCTTGCAGCTGATTGCTCATCCACACACATTAAGAAAGAAATCAATCCTCAGAAGAGGAGCAAGACCAAACTATTCTAAAATAACTTCAAACTGCAAAGCCTGCCACACACCTCTGACTTGTGTAGCCTTTCCTGGCCCAGCATGAAAGCATGTGGAATTCCCATCTATCCCACACCATTCTGTGTCCCAACTGAGTCAGAAAAGCCACCGAGGTCTTTAGGCTGCTGGATGAACAAAAAAGGGGAATCTCATAACGCCATCCCATAGCAGCCCAGGCTTCCTTCCAGGTGTATTTTCTCACCCTGATTCTTTTTTCTTTCTTTCTTTGTCTCATCAAATAAATGACTTGACTCATAGCTGGAGTAACATCTGCTCCCTGAGCTGCGGTGCTGCTCCACGAGGCTTGCAGGAGCACCCTGAACCCTGACCCTCTTCCAACACCTTCCTACAACTTCTACATGTGCCCCAAAGCTTTCAAACTTCACAGGACTACAGGGTGCTTGGGATATGGCCCCAGAAACCATGGCAGGGGAAGGGGAGGCTGAGTCCCGTGCTCAGGTGGGTGTGGGGATGTATCCCGGCAGTGCTGGGGGGAGCCGGTGCTGCCAGTCGGGCGTGTTGAGCGGTGTCAAGCAGCCGGTCAGCAAAGGGGGAGTGAAGAACAACCAAGTTGCCTGAGGAAGGAGAGAGAGTGAGAAGCTGAGCATAGCATTAGAGCTGAGTCAGAGGGGAGGGGAGGCGGCTTACGTGGAGCTAGTCCTGCCAGTGTCCTGGGGGAGAGGGGTGCAGCCTTCACTCATCTCCTCATCCTTGGATCGGGATAGTGTTGGGAAACAGGTCTGCTGCTGGTTTATCTGGGCTGCAGAGTGCTCCAGGGCATCCCCATTTCACAAACACCCCTTGTCCCACCACGGAGCCTCAGCATGCCCCTGTGCCACGTTGGGTGCTGGCGGGAGCTGCCTTGCTTCTGTCCTGCTCACTGTCACAGAAAAACCTATCAAAGCCTTGGGGTTTTTTTCTCCTTATATGAAGTTAAGATAACCAGTTAATTTGGCTCTGGAGTGAGGTTCAGAGGAGCTCGGGAGCTGGCATGAGGTGAGAAGTGGCAGCACATACCTGTGACTTGTTTGGGTAGGACTCCTTTTGGCACTGAGCTGAATGGAGCAAGGTTGTCTTGTGCAGCATCCTCACGGGCTCACCCACTGCTCTGAAACTATCAACACAAGGGAAGGCATGAAACAGAAGAACTCCATCACTCAAAAGAGGGGAGCTGACCCATGGGACTAATTGGAAGTCAATTATAGGGCAGAGTTGGGAGCAGACTGAAGGCTTCCAGGACGAAATCCTGGCTTTGCAATGTCACTGGACATGCTCTAGCAGCATGGCATGACTTCCAGAGCCATTTCCATCAATATACACAAGTTGTAGGTTGTGAAGCATTTTGAATCTTTACAGCTGCAGATTAGAAGTGCAGAAGGAAAGCTGTAGCGTAAGTAAATAGATTATGTGGAGTTTAGAGAAGTTAAGCTACAATCTTAAATTCAAATAACTTTCCTATTAGGAAGGATCTATTAATACTTATGGTATGGTAATTGTGCAGACTCCAAGTCCTCACCCAGTCAAAAGTAAGCCCTAAGAGTCCGTACCTACCAATGGAAAAATCCCCTTAAAACACTGGGAATATTGCCTACATAAATACTGCAAAAGTTGAGCTGCAGATGATGCTTCTATAAACTACAAAATGAGAACTTGATCACAACAGCAAAACTTCAGTAAGAAATTTAAGGCAATGCATGCTGCTGCCAGAACACACTCGAGGAACTCAAATTTCTTGAAATTTTTGCACTTCTTTCCCCCCACATTACCATTTCCTTTTCCCCATAGGTGAGGCCATCTCCAATACTGATCTTTGTTCTTTGCGGCTCAGCCTTTCTGGGTAAGCCTCATCTTCCTTTATCTGCAGCATCCTCTTGCTTGCTCAACGATTATCCCAGAAAGCAAACGGTTTCCCTTTGATGGTTGCTCCTCAGTACCACAAGATAACTGAAAACAGCCAACATTTTCTCCCCATGTCTAATCTGCGTGGTCAGAAACTGAAAGATTTCATTCCCTTCAAACAGCTGACTGCCTCTCTCATCTGCTGATGCTGGTAACAAGGATACCACTCTGGGCTGCCTTTCCCTCTGTTGGGGAAGCTGTTCTGCTCACAGAGAGGCTTCTCTTTAAAGGACATTTTCAAAGGACATTGTGTTATGGCTTCATTTTAAAGACATTTTTAGCCTTTCACATTTGTTTGGAGGGGCTGAGATTTGCAAGTTCTTGGTGTATACTCAATTTTCAGACTTATCTGTGCCAAGCCAACTCTTTTTGATCCTTGTTAAAAGGATTCAAATATACAGTTTAACACATCTACAGTAGCCATTTAAGCTCTTGCTTCCTCTGTGGGGTTCTGTCCTTCCCCCAGGTAGCGTGCTGCTGCCATCAAGAGCTGAATCACTGGGTTGTTTGAAGTCTCCTTCCTTCTAGGAGGCTGGAAAGTGTTAACAGGTCATTCCCAGCACTACCAGCATAGCACTGCTGTCACAGCTTGCCCTCTATGGGCCCATATTCTGGTCCCCTCTTTAGAGCCAGTGGCTGAGGGAGACGTGAAAGGATGTGCCAGGATGCTGCAGTGCCATCAGTGCCATCCTGCTACCCTGAACACTGAGATGTGCACATTGAAGTGACTAATCCAAGGTCACAGGGGCAAATAAGACCCAAAGTCAACTTGGTCCTATGTCAGACTGCAGCTCTGGTGCCTTCCCAGCCAGGGCATTGCAGCAGGAGCTGTGTCCTGTAGGAACCATCCATTGCTCTGCAAAAGAGATGCAAGGTGGGGACACAGTGGAAATTCAAGTACAGCCCAGTTCTTGCAGACCTTATCCCTGCTGCTTGCCTGGGTGGGAAACCACCATTTGGGAACAGAAGGTGAAGGAGAGAAAGCAAATATGCAAGGAAACTGGCTCTCAGATTGCCTCAGAAACAACTCTGACCCTGGAAAACAGATACATGAGTAGGAACTAGGGACTGGGTGGGAGGAACAGCAAAGCCCACGTAGCCGCTGCAAATGTGTGGGATTTTCTTCTTCAGGTCAGCACGGATGGACATAATGATCCCTTGAGGCACTCCACTTAAAGCTGCTGGCTCCAGCTTACCCCTCCCCTGCTCCCAGCATTACTGCTGACCGTTCACACACTGCTCCTTTTCCTTACACCTCTTATCTGCCACGGGAAAAATGCTCAGAGTAGCCTCGCTTCTGGGTCTCACTGCAGCCTGTCAGTTCCTTTGGCCTGACAGGCATTTATAGATCCCATCCCCCTTTTTACTACAGGTAGCAAATCTGAGATAGATCCTAAAGTAGCTGAGAAGCATTTATTTCTGGATCTTCCCATTTTTGTGCAAATTAAGCCATCAAGCTAAACATTATATCAGTTTATCTTTTGTGTTTGACACGCTATAAATCAAACAGGACCTGAACACACCCCTTTTGACTTTTGATATTACGTACATGTGCATCTATGCTGTGTTCCAGGTGCCTTTGCCAAAACATTAACAGTAATACTACGAGGACTAAACAGAGCAGATGTTCTGTAATCCCACACCAAAAGGCAACCTGGGAGTGCTGGAAGCTCTGCAGGTACAAAAAGCTTTACCCCTCGAGCCATGTACTTGTATTATACAAACTAATTATTGTAACAGCTCTGTGAGGGGTCACCATCACCTTACGAAGAGGAGACAGAGATGGCAAAGGACACGGGGTTGTGGAGCTCTGATCCTGTGATAGTTCCACCCTCCCTCTCAAGCTTCCATGCAGCCTAAGTGTACAGTGTAATATTTCAGTGCAGGGATCATTAAACTGTAAAACTCTATTTTAGGAGGGTTGTTTTCATTCTTTCCCCAAATAGTAGATTGTCTCCAGAGATAACAAAATACAAATATCCATTAGAGTAGGGAAGAAGCTAAGCAACTTTACAGATATCAAGTTCTTTTTCCCTGCACTGTTTGATTTCCCTTGGGGTGTCACAAGGTATGCAGCTAAAAGCAAAGACATCTCCCTGGGGGACGTCTTTGCGATGTTGTTGTATTTGTATAGTGGTAGGAAGTCTCTATTGGTTATAAAACCATCAAAAAAATTGTCAATAGCTAAAAAGTGGGAATGTTTTAGGCCTAATCCAGCTCCTGTCAAAACTCATCATCAAAAACTTCCACTGACTTGGAGAAGTGCAGAATCTGTCAGTTCCAGAAGCTTTTACAGCATCACATCATGTTCATTAATATCCACCTGACAAGCATATATAACACCCAGTTATACATGTTACCAAGATGCAACAGCAAAAAACCCATTTCTTTCTGACTTTGAAAAATGTCTCTGCTCAATAAGTTGCAGTACCTGAAGTCAGAGCATTTTAAAATGCTGCCCAGGTATCTGAGGGTTGCCAGAACAGATGGGCACAGGGAGGGAGAAGATAATCTAATGGCCTCTCCATCACTTGGTACCGCTGCTGGCATCATATCATTACCACAGCCAGAAGGTGCACCAGACCAGAGCAGCCATGTGGGATTGCTCCCTCCATGCTAAAGGAGTGAGAGATGCTGCTTAAATGTGATGCTGCAGACTTGTCTGCAGTCTCCAACTTGTCCTGTGCAGGATGTGCTGAGGAGGCAGCTCTCCTCCTACATGTGCACTCAGCTTCCTCATATCCTCTGAAAGCAGCATTGATAAGGAGCAGACTAAGGATGCTTAGTGGTGAAGACTTGGGCTTGACAAAACTCTAAAAAGGGATTTGGTATCTCCCCAACTACGGTATGTTTGCCCTGGATGAGTGAGTGGTGAACAAGTTCTATTTTCGGCTGCACACTCTGCAACAACCTGCCTGTTTCTCACGATGGCTGTCACTCGCCTGAGCACACCTAACACAGGATCCCTCGCTCTGCTTTGTGCCCAGATTACTGCTTTGCTGTCAGGTGCCCACAGCCTTGTCTTTGCTACTTAGCTACACTATCAAGCCCTGCTTTTGCAAGCAAAATAAGGCATTTAACAGTAAGAATTCAGCATTTCTTAGATGGAGTGTAGATGAGATGTTAAGGAGCAGCCACAGAAGTAGTGGGATGCAACCAAGGGAGAGCAAACTGGATGATCTGCAAAGCTGAAACAGAGTTGTCCTTTCCCTCCCAGTTGTTTCCATCATCCACCTCTTGCTCTATGCCTTCCTGCCTTCTCACTCACTAAATACCTTTTTTTTCTGATGGCTGAGGCTATGCAGGAGCAAACCTGGAATCCATACATTCCCTCGCAGGTGTGGAGAGAGCAGGAATGATGTGAATTGGCTGCAGCCTTCCTAACCACAGTCATGTCATGCCACTCAGGCTGGGACTCCGGAGAGAGAATTAATGGAGTGTAAATCCCTGTTTGGAAGTCTCCAGCTTCTCCCTGTAACTCCTTCACTCCCTTTTCAAACACATGAGGAAGGGACCTCCCCAAAGAACCACAGCTGGACATTTTGGGTCATTTTAGAAAG